TTTGCCAGAGTGATTTCAGCTTGACATGTTCAAAGGTTTCCGTAAAGCAAGCCTTTAGTGCAGGTAATTAAGCTCTCCTTTCCTCGCCCATCAACTTCCCGTGCAGTCACCAGTTGAGACACTATCTGTTGCTGGACATCTTCCGACATGTACATGCTGAACCAGATAAATCTGATACCTCTCTAAGATAGCCAATCAAACTACTGATCCTGTGCGCAATGTGATCCTTTACTACACCCCTCCCCTCCTAAAATGATTGTCCTCCAAACTTTTAAAGGTAAAATCAAGGGTACAGTATGTACACACTCTAGAAACTAAATTAAACAAATCTAAGAGCTTTATTAACGAAAAAGATTTTTTTTTCGATATTGGTGCGCGTTGTTTCAAGTGTAATAGCAAGACAATATTTCTCAATTTCCTGACAAAACGTCGAGTATTATACGGTATGCATACTAAGTAACATGCGCGCGGACAGTGCGCAGTCAACCGTTATCAATTATTCATGCGCAACCAATCAAATTCATGCAAGAAGGTAATTTTTAGAAATCTAATATTCAAGCTAAAGAACACGTTATTTTCATAAGATCTTTCCCTTCCTATTTTTTGCCTTTCACACTTCAAATTATATTTTTAAGATGTTCTATTATCTATTTATTGGTTTTAGCAAAATTTAACGACCACTTACTTCTATCGAACCTTAAGATTAATTTGATCTTAGTTAGCCAGGCAGGTTAATGCTAAACGACACGACTAGGAAACCTTCTTATCGCGTTGGCGGCAACCTAAAGAGGATAGAATATAAATAGTCTGTGGAAATGGCCTCTGGTCATACGACCACCCATTGATATTGGAAAATTATTGCTGTCAGACCGTGGCTGTGATATGGTGATCCATTGATAGCGGCGGTAGTGGGTGTTTACAAGTGGTAACAGTTTTACCAAGTCAACTACTAGGAGTCGATGTAATGATAGTAAGCTAGCGTGTAGAGCGTATAGAAAAAAATTAAGGAGTGTATGCAGAGCCAGTAAGGAAACTGCGCACTCTAGGCGTAACAGTTCAGTCGGTCAACCCGGCACTAGGAGTCGATGTAATGATAGTAAGCTAGCGTGTAGAGAGTATAGAAAAAACTAAAGAGTGTATGCAGAGCCAGTACTGAAGCTGCGCACTCTAGGTGTAACACTAAGTTTACTCAGTCAACCACTAGGAGCCGATGTAATGATAATAAGCTAGCGTGTAGGACAGTACAGTAAATACTAATAAAAGAGTGTATGCAGAGCGACCTGTACGGAAACTGCGCACTGCTTGTGGCAGTTCTGTTAACAAACAGTTTTTAGATTATCTTATTTTAAGATGGTCATTCAAGCGGTCCACTTTTAAGCTGTCAGATTTTTAAACGATAAGTTAGTTTTTTTCTTCTACTTGGCATCGTTCTAGGCAAACTGCATAAATATACCCGGAATTGAGCAAGGACTAGATTATTCCAGGTCGATCATTTCCTTGGTTAGTGTATGTGTTCTATTCAATGCGAGAGGTCCACAGACACGAGTATCTTGAGTTACTGACGCTATTAGTCATCAAAGAATTCGAAACGTAAAGTATCAAGCTAATAATTCGTGTACAGCATGAGTTATAGTTCGAAACGTAAACCAATGATAGTGAGAAACTCGAGAGAGACAGGGAGTTTAGGTCGGCACATTCGATTGAAATAGAAGTATCTAAGCTATATCCGGATAAATAGACTACTTCACCAACACTTCCTAGCAACAAACTAGCTAAAAATCACGTAAAAAATAATGAATCAAATCACCAAAATAGCCGGATTAAAGTTACCTGGTGTCTTACCGCAGCGCAATTACTTTAACCGCACTTGATAAGTAATAGACTGTCTTCATCTTCAGTTTTCGGCGCACGTCACTTCGAAACTAATGATTATTAATTACGGTAGTTTCCGGTGACTGAAGAGATAGATTCAATGTAGATGTACCATAGATACATCAAATTCGTTTGGGTAAAAAAAAAAACGAGTGTCATAACACGATTTTTACTCGAATGGAAATTGAAATCCATCTCTTGCGTGCAACGCCGCATTTTCGATATAGGAACTGATATATTGCTACACCAGTTATTCGTTGTTATGCAGAACCCGCAGTTCTTATGTGTACACTGATATTGTATGTTTGTTCGTGGTATGGTTGTGATTTCTGTAACATAATACGAAGAACAAAAATCCCTTACATTTTTCCTGATGCGCTGTACTTGTTCGTTTGCTTCCATGTACAGTTAATCGCGAACCAAATATTCGGCAATCGTGTACCAGAAATAATGAAACTAAAAGCAGAACAGTCAATGTTTTGCGAGCTCCTTGTGAACGACGTTAAGAGGGTCAGACTGAAGATCAAAGGCTAAACACACAGATTTAAAGCGAAAACTCTTAGTGGATTTGGCACGGATTCGAAATCTAGGCTTGTGATATTCCATTAAAGGTAACCAAAGGTTCTTTTAACCATTTTTCGGTCGAAACTAAAGCTAATCAAATGGAGTGATTCAACACTACTTTGAAGTGCTCCTGACGGAATTCTATCTATCTTTAGTTTATCTACAGCAGATGTTGGCCATTGGGTTTTTATGTACAAATATTTCTGTCACTTATGGCTAGCGGCAATAGGCTACTCCATATCTAGACCTTTATCTGAGAGAACATTGTTTAAAAAAGACTTTAACAATTGGCAATTAATATCTGTTGTCATAGGTAATTAGGATCGATGAGGTGAGAAACTCTCCCAGATTGTCCCTTTGCCCTGGAGCTAATCGCTAACAAACTAAACGCTGTTCGAAAAACAAATAGCTTTTCTCTACTACAGATATGATTGAATTTAGGATTCCGAATTAGGTCAAAAACTCCAGGGAAAATCTATACGGGTTGATGTAGATAAGAAATAGTAGCAGTGCCCACTCCCGCCTCAATCGGTGCGCCCACTGTGAGTTCGTCCCCAGAAATTGAATTATCCTGACTACGATATTTCTAGATCACTGTCGTTTTTCCCCGCCCTCTGCGATGACCAATACTTCATCGAGCCTCGGTAAAGCGCTGAGAAAAGAAGCCAAAACGAGGCTCGTGTGACTAAATGGAAAGGTCATTATGTTCAGCTAATTATCGGCCCGAGGCGTGAAGGCTACGTTAATTTTTTCCTTGATTATAAAATTTTGACAGAATGAATGAAAAGTGAACGTACGATCTAATCTTAAGAAGAAACGTTGCTAGAACTTTGATGATTTTACTGTATTATTTTTTTAAGGTTTCAATAAAAGGTTTTATAGTTAAACTTTATAGTTATCTTACTGCGCGAAGGGCGCATTATTAGGAGTAAATTTAATGAATCGTTAACTCTCACTCTGACAGGATTACACGACCTACGAAGTGATTATCCAAACTTCCCACGCTCGCCATAAACATTTCATTTTTACCGCTTCCTCTTTCGTGCAATTTACTCATGAATTAATCAAAAATAATTCTTAAAATCCGAAAATACTCATTATTTTCTCCTCTGAGTCTGTAATCTCTTCAAATATTGTTTTGCGATGTTGATTAGCTGATTTCTCACAAAGTAGCTTACATTATTTTTCTCTACTCGATTAGTTTCGTTTTCCGTATTACTCTATCATTACACCAGGATAAACTTTATTACATGTTAGTCAAACGCTATAAGCACCCCTCTTATATTTCTAATGAGCTCCAATTTTGCCATCCTTTTCGTGAGACTTTACCGGCGTCTCCTCAATCTATATTTATCACTCTGTTATCCTATCAAACGTCAATCAACGGCTCAAGAGCTACAAGTATTTATAGAACTCAGTGTACAGGCATATTTATAGACAATCTTTCTCTCTGCATTTATAAAGTTTAGCCGTAAAATTAAAATACTATGTAATGTTTCGCACAACAGACTATTTTCAAATTAGGTTTTTACCACCGCGCTTGTGGTTCCACTTGAATTTGGATCATATGCTGACGCCATTCCATGTTCCATAAGAGACATAAGAGTACAGAACATAGAAAAGGGAACTCGATTTGCTAAATATATTACTGTGTTTCTTGATCGAAGACTCATTCACTCAGGGTTAGTCTCATTTCATTGTATAAACGTTTTCAAATATCAATGATAAAGATAAAAATTTAACAATTTCAAAAATACAAACGCTTTGAAATTCCACGGATCCTCACTGGAATGCATGAATATTCAAAATAATTCCATACGCGGCTAACTCTGAAGAACAGATAATTCGAAACTGAAGCATACTTTAACAATCTAAATAAATGCGTCAAATAAGTGCGTAAACTGAATACAAGTTCCATAATTAAATGTATTCGCGTAGTTCTGCATGCAGTGGTAAACTGAAAAGCCACGCGCACGAAATCGCATGCTCTCAATGAGAAATTCCCTTCTGTTTGTCCTCAGAGATAATCGTTTTATATACCTCGTCTTTTATCACGTCACAACAGCTCTCTCCAGTAGTTGCGCTTTCTTGACGTATACCTTATGCTAGGAGAAGTTATCACGAACAGATTCCTAGATAGTCCAGCTCCTTATTATATGACCGAGTGGTAGGTTAATTCTCTTGTTAGCCTTTTACTAGCTTTGGTTGTCAATTTAAGTATCATTATCTTCAGATTTTCTTCTTAAGCGGCTGTGTTCTCGAAATTCCCGCCGCCTTCGAATAAACAATTTGTTTTGATTTTAAACATTATTCAAAACATTAAACATATAAGATTGCATTTTGATGCAGAAGAAAAATTTCGAGAAGAGAAATATCGAAGTACAAACATGTCATGACTATACAGAAGAGAAACAAGACATTGCTTTTTGGGGGGGGGGATGGGGGGATAGGGGGGAGGTTCTTCAAAAATCATGTTATATATTCTAGACATTTTTATCTCAGTTTTCCATATTGTGCCTTGTCCACATCATATACAATACATTACTATCTTAAACATCCATTACCTCGTGTTGACTTGAGCCTCGTTTTCCAAACATTTCGTGATCTCCTCTCGAGTACCGATCTAAACTTTGTCGAACGCGCTTGCTATACAGTTTCACTTGGTCAATACTGAAATGAGAGCCACAGATTTGTCGCCTTGAAACTAGAAGGTATAGGTATTGCACAATGACTTTCCGTGTCCAAAGCGCTCTCTTTTGGATATTCAACTTCCTTCTTCCCTTCCGCCCATTATTCTTCGGCTTTACGTTTAATGTGACACATTCTCAGCGCTGAAAAAAGAGAGGTTCGGAGCGGTAATGGATAGGAACTTTGTTTTTGTACTGGGGTTTTACAGGACTAGAGGTTTTGAATGGGAGTTTTTAGGAAGATTTAGCAGCCTAATTCATTCTGGTAAAATTAACTCTCACTGTGATTCGGGAGTATCACTGCAGAATTTTTATAATCTTTCATTTTGGTAATTTTTAAAAAAGCGCATAAAATCACAAACTAAGAATAATATATCAATAACAATGTATAAACATGTTCACTTAACAAAAATATAGCAAATGATTAACGAAAAGCGAAACTACTTAAATGCAAAAATATATAATAAAAAATGACAATATCAATTCAAGATCTTAAAAATATTTGTTTGAAATAAAATAGGAGAAAAAATATTTCAAAATTTCTAATTTTCAATTCAAAAAAAGTTAAAATCTATGATAGCTTGGATTCAAGATCCTAAAGATACTTATTTAAAACAAAATAGGGAAAAAAACAATTTTCCAAAATTCCTGATTTTCAATCCATAATGAAGTTAAAATCAATGTTATCTTTAGAATACTGATTTTTTTCCACATATGTCAGGGATAAAGATATAGATTAAGGATATTGCAATGTTGTTCGATATAAATGTAGGCTTTGTTATGAATACTGCCCAAACCTGTGGTTAAGATTACAAGCTAATAATCTCCTCTGTTTAGCTAATAATAATAATGAGTGCACGATATCATTTGGCAATTTAAAGCACAGTTCTCAATATTTTTAGTGTTATCTGACCAGGGCCCTGTTGTACGAAGCCTGGATAGCGATATATATCCGACAGATAAATCTAATCCAGTGGATAAGTTATTGGATATCAGCATCGTCTTATCCTCTGGATGAGGATTTATCTATCCAATAACGCTATCCACCCTTCGTACAATCGGCCCTGGTCAGATAACACTGAGATATCTATGCCATACTATGTATATCTATATAGCATTTGTCTAATAAATGTGTATATTTTTATCGGAGAAATGCTGATTGGAGCAAACGTCGTAAATAAAACCGACAACAGGATGAGGAATAACCATTACAAAGCAGAATAAGAACCCAAAATGAAGCAAAATGTAGAGGGAAAAGGAAAAATTTATTTCTAAGTATTTAATCTAGCAGTAGTAAAAAAAAACTCTACAACAGAAGTAGGAATAACCATCTAATTACAAAGCAAAATGCCGAACTCACAGAGAAGGAAAAATGAAGCAAAATAGGAGAAAAAACAGAATAAATATAATTCTAAATAATCTAATATCGGATTTAGGRTGTTTTCTCTTGTTTTTCTTTCATCGCCGTGATATGGTACTTTCAGGATTTTTGGAGTCGGAAAGATCAACAGTTTTGTTAATGATTTTTCGGATTAGTGACTCTTCCTGTTCTAATCTTCATGCCGCTAGTAATGCGATAACCTATATATAACCAGCTATAAATGAATTACCTAACACTTGTTTCTGCTTCCCGCTTCGACTAGTCATGTTACAATCTCGTACCTTGAGCCCTCGCTCCCTCTGTTCAGCGACTTTAGCCATTTGGCTGACTATTATAGGTTTGTCTTTTTTCAATTTCATTCATTTGTTCATTATATCTTTGTTTCAGTAGCCAATTAGAGCTCTGGTTGACACAATATCAATAGAGGCTTTGCACCATCACGTGGTGGCAGCCATGACATGAGGCAGGATCAATTGAATCTGGTCTAATCTGATTTACACAAGAAATAAATCATTTTCCCAGCTGGTGGAAAGAGACTTGTTGTTCCTCCTGTCATGATTGCCATCACATGGTGAAAAACCTCTATAGGTGACGTCAGCGTGAATATTGCTATAGCGTACTTTGAGAGTCAATGATTACCACCGTCACTACATTGTCCGATAGTTTTCCCAATCACAGATCATGTAACAGACCTTCTTATAACAGCGCCCTTAACAGTGTCATAAATTTCGCATGTGTTTACCTTGAAACGTCACAGGTATGAGATCATCTGACAAATCACATACTGATAGAAACTCTGAGGTGGTGGGCGTTCGCTCTAAGCTCATAGTCACGTGACGGACCGTAGATAAATGCGGAACCGCCCCCTTTGGTCACCTTTCAATATCGAATAACCATTTTGTTATTGCATAATTTCTATAAAAAAAACTTAAAGGCACCACGTTTGCCATGGATCTACATAACGAACTGCAGTATATATGCATGTCGGATTTATTGTAAATGGTTATATGTTTTATATTTAGCGATTAAGCGGTCATCCATTCCTCTGCCCTCCCCCTACACAAACACACAGATTCTGTGGCTTTTTAACAATATGAATCTGAGTCCTAGGGAACTGTATTGCTTTAAAAATAAATTGAGTACCAAAAAAAGCGTGATTTCATTAAATACTGTATCTCACATCTTTCAATGTTGTCCAAAATAGTACCTGAACTATTATTAGATCATATTATGTACATTTAATCAAAATAGAATGTTGTTATAGCTTATGGATCAGTACTGTAATGACGTGCGCATGAATCCGGCCGGAGGCGTAAGGCAAAAACAGTTGCGAAAATACAGTCGCCGAGAAAAGATTATCAATTAACAACAGCGATAAAACAGTTTACGCTAAGATAGGATATCGGAGTCGACTTTTTCTTTCTTTCTTTCTTTCTTTTTTCTTTTCTTTTCTTTTCTTTTCTTTTCTTTTCTTTTCTTTCTTCTTTTTTAGAAAAAAAACGCACAAAGTTTGCTCAGAATATAGAAGTGTACAGAGAATATAGCCATCAGACGCGAGAATANCATTTCCTAAATTTATTCAAAATCTCAATCGCTATGGCCCGGTTGTACGAAAAACAGGAGTAAAACCTGATAAATATTTGAGATCATAGCGCTATCCAGAGGATGAATTTATTAGATACTGAAAAACATCGAGCTCCGCTGGATAAGGTTTTATCAATTTGATAGCGCTATCCACCCTTCGATCTTTACCGACTTCATATCTCTATTTCTAGTTTTAGTTTCCAGAGGGGGAGCGTGCGAGAAGAGTTTTGCGCATGTGCAATCATTACGCAGATTTGTCACGTGATTCTATCCAGAACTATATTCACTTCAAGAAATTGTGGCCTTTTATATTAGTATATTTTCTAAATTTTTTTTGAATTCTTAGTCGGTAAAAGTCTGTCGTCGCCTTACTGAATGTCTCTTTTATCTAACAATAAAAAAACGAGTTCAACTCTTAGTAAAAGTTGATGAATGAAGAATTCCTTAACCTGTTTTTTTTTCTCCGTTTACTTCGTTGGGGGAGGAACCATTAAGCTTGCCGTCTCCACAATAGGTTAAGTTTTAATGCATTAAGCACAGTATTTTCAAACCTTAGAAAATGGGCTTAGAGATCTTTCTTTGTTTCGAATATCGACTTTGCTAATGTAACCAGGAAATAGTTGCATCAAAACCAATTAAAGCACTGATAAAAGTAAATGACTAGCAAAAATATCAAGCCTGTTTCTTAAGAGATTTCACAAGTATTTGACTGGTTTTTGGAATAAATTTAAGAAGCTTCATTCTCCCAGACAAGGCATCGAAAAGGAAATACCCACGAAAAGTTCGTGTGCTAGAAAAAGTAGTTGCGTGAGGACTTGATAACACACTATTATGAAACAAATGTTATTGTTTATGTGATTGTAGGAAAGCTCTCTTGGCTGAGGACATTAGATACTGACAAAAACAAAAATAAGAAATAAAAATCCACATTGAAAACAGTAACAAACAAACGAAAAACAACTTCGAACGTTCACTCATTATTAGGCCACCCGCGGTAATTCCATGTGCATAAGTTGGATTAAAGAAATTTCTGCTTTATATACAACTGCAATTCTTTAATTTTACCCTAAGATACAATTTGTACAATACAATAAAAACTAGGTCGTTAAATTACATATAATACACGAGGAAGGGAGAAAGAAAAGAGGGAAAAGAATTTTGTCGAAAAAAAAAACAACAACAACAACAACTGACAAACGGTCATCAATCATTAGAGAGTTTTAGATTGACTTTTTTTTCTTCCCGCAAACGGCAAACGTGGACCACGTTTTCATAGTTTTCCTGTATTTTACTTTACTATTTACAAACCTTCTCACCAAGCGCAAATACTCTTTTGTTTTTCTACTACTTGGACTTTTTTGCGATTCTTTTTCAGTCATTCAAAAGAATTTTTTACTGGTCAAATGACGTTTCACGTTTGCCGTGAACGTAAATCTAAAACTCTCTATTGCTGTCTTTTGTTTATCGATTTTCAATTCTTGCCGGGCGCTCGATCCTCATGCCTCCATACTTTCAATTCAAACTGTTATTGTAAAATCTCTCAAGCTCAGAAGTGTTAGGCAAGAAGTGTTTTGTACGAGAATAGAACATGTTACAAAAGTATATTGTAGGTATTAGATCGAAATGGTCTCAGGGAATATACTCTGAATTTTGAATATATATATATTTTTGAATAATGTAATAATGTAAATAAGATTTTAGATATTTTACCTTTAAGCCTTGAATTTGCGTTCAGTTTTTCGTCGTCTTCTGCTAAACCTGAATTAGAAGTGAGAGAGAAGTACATAAGAATGAGTAAAGAGTGTTGAGAGCCAGTAGGGAGAGATCGAAGGGTCTTGACGTACTGTTTGTTAAGAAAGGCGTGTTTCCTTCCCCTGATCTAGTCGTTCACGACCATTAGCGCTTGCACAAATAGCCGGAGCTTTCGTTTAAGTTTTGTAATTGAATAATGCATAATCTATATTGCCGAGTAACCAGAAAAATAACTAACCATGCTTCAATTTCCTTTTCAAAAACATATTAACGATAAAATGGACACGTCTACATTTTAAACAGATTTTCTTTCTTTAAAAAAAACACATAATTTTTCTCCTTTGTATCAATTCTCGTGAGATGGTCTAAATATTGATTTTCAAGATACAACTGGTTCAATCGATTACGCTTGTTTCGTATTCGCATGTCTGATAAAGTCAACAAAGACAGTATTTTCCTGCGTATCGATATACAATATGGTTAGTGACAAATGATTTGTCAAAAAATTAAGTAAACTTGTATCACAAATACCAACATTTATTGATTGTATCCGTGACTAACACGAATTGGATCATCGCAATTTTATGAAAATATAAACAAGATTTCCAAATTGGAAATATAATCCAAAAAGGCAACAGTAACATTGAAAATATTTATTTCAAAAATGCATGCCTTCAGAGGCCAATGTATTCGTATCTCAGATTTAATCGCAAAATCTCTAGATTTTTCCCCCTTGAAAAACATCGTTTTGTTTCATTCCTAAGGACAAATAATGAATTGCAAATGGTAACTATCGATCTAACGATCGATCAAAAAGACATCTCATATGAAATTCACGAGAAAGTTAATCTTATTTGGTTTTCACTCCTGCCTGATTGGAGCTATCTGCAATTTTCATCTATACAGTGCTCAAATTAAAAACAGGTTTTAAATAATCTTAAATCAAGAAATCTCTTAAGGATACGAGTCAGGTAATGAGCTTAAAACCATATGAACTGTTTACCTACATTTTGACACTCGTTATAAACAATTTTCGCATCAATTCACCGAACCTCAGGATTCCTATTCATACCATTCATTTCATCACCAAGTTTTGTATTTTTCAAGCTCGCATTCCAGGCTGTACTATAAACTGCATACAGCTTCTGAACTAGTTTTAACGATGTTGTCAGTTTGTCACTTAAAAAAGTAGTCAGGCACTTGAAGTAAGAAGTTAATATAGGCGCTAAATATACCGTAATCAATTGACAGTCGCTTCATGAAATGGTCACAAAACCTTTTTTAAATGTGTATACGAATTCAGTATCCCTACATTTTTCTCATGAGTTCCGCAATATTACATGCGTACGCATTAAGGTGTTGGTTAAAACTGCTGTACATAGTAAGATTCGATCTTGAATTGGAAAAAACAACAACAAATGTTCGGCTTTTCATATAACGTTAGGGAATATATAAGGTAATAAGATATATACGGCTTTACTTTTGCTATGCCAACTGTCAAAGCAATTGGAAACGACTACCAAAGCACAGGATAGTAGAGATGATGAAATAATAAAGAAAATATTAAAAGTTAAAAAATAAAACAACAAATCAATGATGCCGGACCGAATAATTTTTATTTCAAGTTAATCAAATTTTAGATTTGGAATTATCAATATATAACGATGGATATATTTCTCATTCTATAAACAGTTTTCAATTAGAATTTGTTTGTAAAAGAAAATGTCATTTTTTTCTTATCATTTTACCTTGACCTTACTCGTTTGCTTACGTCCTACAGGATATCTCTGATTGGTCAGTTCAGGTAGGATTCTGATTGGTCAATTAAAACAGATACTGGACGAAAAGCCTTTTGGGTGAAGTTGACATGATAATCCGTCGGTTTCAAAGTCGGCAGCCATCTTTGTTTTACTACATTACGGAAGATATATTTTATGCTATGTAACTAAATCATGTTATGACTTTACTTCTTATTTATTCAAGAGAAGCAATATAATAGTTCTTTTACCATGAATGTATTTTGCAAACTGAGAATTAAAAAGACGTTTTGAACAAGTTTATTTAAATAAAAATGAGTCAGTTTTTCTCAGTGATATTGATGAGACATGTACTAGGAATCAAGGCCATCCTGGTGTCTTAATCATTTATATTTAGCTTGAACTCTCGTCACCCTGGCCAAGAGTACTGTATATACTGTATATATTGTGAAATTATACATTCATAGAAAAGTCAAAGCGCAAGTTGCTGATATAAAACAATCAAACAAACAAAGGAAAGAATAAGAAAGGAAGGAAAGTAACAAAGAAAACGAACGCGCAACGAATAAACAAATAAACCAAAAAACAACAACAACAACAACAAACAAATTAAAAAAGGAAGAAAAAATGAATGAATGTGGTGTTTCACCAGTTGAATGTTGTTTCGTGAAGAGGGAAAATTATCTCAAATTATAGCAATATTTCTTTTATCCCTCGTTTACAAATTTTCTTCGTTTGACAGGCATTACTTTTCAGTTTAATAACGGATTATGGATTTTTAACAAGACGGTTAGGTCATAATCGTGGCATTGCAGGCGCTACATTGTCTCGCGGACCGATATAAACTGTTGAGTTTATCTCAAATGTGAAACCTATTTTCGTGATTAATTTCTTTTTAACCACAAAGGATAGTTCTCACGATAATGGTAGTGGTGGCGCTTTGTTGTCTCCTGAATAAGAGCATTACTCATTGACATTTTATAAGAGGACGTACGTTTATTCTTTAAAATCTTTTTTTCCAAAATAAGTGGGTCTGTTCCAAATGGCATAGTATTATTTTAGTGGTAGGTTTTTCATTATTAAGCGTTCAAACAAATCGTACTTACTTTACCTAAGATTGTCAGTGTTGGAAGAAACTTCGGATTGCGGCAGCAAAGATTATGACTGAGAAAGTAATATATAGCTGGATTAGGAATCCCCGAGAATAAAAGATATTATCTTGATCATTCTAATAAGATTAGACGTGTATTTCATATAACAAACAAATAAATCTTACTCGAAAAAGTATTGACACAAAAGCATACATGCATTCAAAATATTTTTCCTAATATCTATCCTGAGGACAAATTTATGGTGTTAAAGAGTGAATGACTCTTGAATTTCGCAAAAAGACTAATTTACTTCAGTTAAATTGCCTTTCTAGGCTGAGATAACTTCAGCTAATGAAGTACCATCCTGGTAGTTTAAGAGTGTTGTTTTCAAAACCTCAGTTTTTAACTAGAATGGACTTTCACGTTTAACGAAAACAAAAGCATCCCCAAAAATATCATTTTAGTTGAAAAATAACATTATAGCTAAAAAGTGTAGCTGATATCAAGTGATTGATTTTTCAAACTTTGCTGAAATTTTGCAACAAAATACAATTAGCGTCCATTTGAAAGGGTCTCTTAAAAAAGGGCACTTAAAGACGTTTTTGAACATTGCTTTAAAGTATAGAAAACCCTAGAAAGAATTGCTTTAGTTTTCTGTAAGTTGTTACGTGGCTTTAATATCTTTTAAGAAAACAAACTGATCTTTGAATAAGAAAAACAAGGAGAAATGCTATGACTGCATCTTTAGACGAATTGCTATTTTGTCGTCTAAGAAATTCACATGAAAGTTAAGCCAATAGTCTTCCTTTTTTGTAGTTTTATCTATTTATTATACGTTTTTAATTCAGCAATTTTATTCATTGTATAGTCAAGCACATCCATTTTTTTTTGTTACTCTTCAAGGTGTTCCCAGAGTCTAGTCGTCATTTTTGAAATCTTCACAAATGAAAAACGACTATATTTTTAAAAGTATTTTTTTCGTCAGTTCTTATATAACAAGTTCAAGAATTATACTCAAGAATTCGAACTGATTTGTTCATGTATTTATTATACAGTTTTTTGAGATTTTTAAAGTGTAAACTACTTTTACTTTTATGACTAAATAAGATTTGCGAAAAAAAAAAGATCTAAATATACTTTTATATGATTATCATTAACTGAAATATCTCACAGTGACTGTGTGTCAATCTGGAGTTTTGTCGATAATAAAGAGAAACTATTTTGAATTTTCGTTCAACACTCGTGACAGAAATCAAAGGTTTTGACGTTCCTCATTTGTTTCTTTCCACTGTTTTTGCTGTAAACAATTCCAAGGGGACTTACCTTTTTACACTATTATACCAAGCTGTTAAATTCACTCATCGTTCTTTTACCGTATGGTCCTCAGCCCATTAATACATCAACAGGGATCGGCTTTTAAAGAACACTGAAGAAGCACAAAATGCTTAGTTCCTGTAAGTTCAAATTAAAGGAAGCACTTCTCGATTCATTAATACAAAGTCTGACACAGCAACTTTCATCGAGCTAAAATTACTCCTCCAGTGTAGTTTTTAACGGTTTTGCCGACAAAAGATTCCCCCCTCATTAAAAAAGCCCACATTCAGAATTCTTCATCTCGATAATTACTATCTAACCAAGAGATTGTAATCAAAGACGGCTTTTGCGATTCAATTCACCGAGATATTTTATTGTTGTCAAGTTAATTTAATAGCCAGATTATGTATGGTAGAATTTAAATATTTCACAGTGGGAGGTTAGGCGGCTGCAAATTTCCCCGTGTTTACGTAAGCATTGATCACGTGTTATTTTTCAACCAATAAAAATGGAAGATGAAATTACGGTAATTTTCTTTTCCTTTTGTCAATCGACGAGGAAGTTTTTAAGAAGGATCCTAGTAATTGACTCCAAAAGAAAGCATTGGACTTATTTTTGGAAAACTTATTACTAGAATTGCTCTTTTTATCAAACATGTTAAATCGATTTGGATTTGGATTCGGACTCCAGTTGTTCCGAACACTGTTCTGTGATTGGTCCTTTGTGAGTATTTTCATATTTAACGTCAAAACTCTTTGAGAACAAAAGTGTCTTAATTGAAAAAGCCACAGTTATCATAAAAGATACCTCACCTTAAAGGAGACTTGAAAACCAGAAGGAAACG